ATTATGGAAATACAAATAATTCTCTTACAAATGACGCTAAATGCTATCTTGTTAAATTATTATCAAAATCGCTGTATGCTAACAAATAGTATGTTAGCTATGTTGTTGTTGTCATCATGTACCACAGAGTCAGAACCGACCCATAGCTCACCCTCCAGCGGGTTCTCAGAAGCAGTTGATCACACAGGAGGAGATTGCCCATCCTTCTCCTGCATCTTAACTATGCTACTGACTAAATTTTAAAAGTAACTTATTTATTGGGTAAATGATGTGTGATTCACTTTAAAATATGAACCAGACAATCTAAGAGAGAAAGATAGGCAATCTCCTTATGTATCATTTACAGCATTAGAAAACCCAGTTAGTCAACAGTTAGTCAGCTTCAGTCCAACAGTATGTATTGAGATGACTGATTATATTACTCAAGACTCATTGTGGTCAAGTCAGAACCATTTCCCAGCTGACCCTCCAGTGGGCTTTCAGGGACTATAAATAACACAGGAAGAGATTGCTCATCTTCTTCTCACAGGGTCACTGGTAGATTTGAACTGCCTGTGTTTGGGTTGGTAGTGTAACTCCTTACCCCTAAGCCACCAGAGTCCCCAGACTACATGACTAGATCCACCAAAGCCAGAACGATTCATTTTATTATTCAATGACTTTTACTAAACTTTTTCATCAGAAAAAAATTAAAATAAATAAATGTATCCATTTTCAAAATTAATAAATGCATCCAACTCTGAAAACTAGTGAGTATATCCTGATTTCGAAAATGATGAGCATATTCTATTTTCAAAGCATTGGGATCTTATTACCAAGGTTTACTGACTTTGTGGTTGTTTTATAACTGTCAGATTAGCAGATTAAAGATCAACATTAAGAAAACAAAGATCTCACCACTGGGACAATTATCAGCACCATGATAGACATTGAAGAGATTAAGATTGTTAATAGCTTTAGTTTGTTTGTCTCCACAATCAGCCCTCTTGGTACCAGCAGTCAGAAAATCAAAAGACAAATTGCATTGGGGAAAGTCTACTGTCAAGGACCTCTCCAGAGTACTGAAGAACAACAGTGTCAGTCTGGAGACTAAGGTGTGCCTGACCCAGGCCACAGTCTTTGCAATTACTTGCAATGAATCGGAAAGCTGGGCAATGACTAGGGATGTTAGAGAATTGATGCCCTTGAATTGTGGTGCTGGAGAAGAGTAATGAATAGTCCATGGGCTGCTAGGAGAACAAACAGGCTCTCTGGAGGTAAGAATTTTAAAGCTCTGAGAGGAAGAAGCAACGCAGAGGGAACAAGAACGATTTGAGACCGCAGCCAGCACCATGAGCCTCCTCAACAAGCCCAAGAGTGAGATGACCCCGGAGGAGCTGCAGAAGCGAGAGGAGGAGGAGTTTAACACAGGCCCGCTCTCCGTGCTCACTCAGTCGGTCAAGAACAACACGTAAGTGCTCATCAACTGTCGAAACAACAAGAAGCTCCTGGGCCGTGTGAAGGCCTTCGACAGGCACTGCAACATGGTGCTGGAGAACGTGAAGGAGATGTGGACTGAGGTCCCCAAGAGTGGCAAGGGCAAGAAGAAGTCCAAACCCGTCAACAAGGACCGCTACATCTCTAAGATGTTCCTGCGTGGGGACTCAGTCATTGTGGTCCTCAGGAACCCCCTCATCGCCGGCAAGTAGGGCCACCCCTGTCTCTACAGCCCTGTCCCACAGCCACCTCCTGCCGCCCCAGAAGACCTCTCCCGTACTGGGAATAATAAAGTCCCTGTGTGGTGGTTTTTTTTTACTAGCACCTGCCTGGGCTTTGTGAGTGGGGTGGGGAAGGCAGGAGGGCGGCAGCTGGGGCTCTGGGACAAGAACTCTAAAATCACCCGCATGACAGTCGGCCGGCCCACTCTGCCCTTCAGTGCCTCTGAGAAGCAGGTGAGGTGGACAGAACTGACCTCTTCACTCCGTTTGAGACGCCTTTGCTCTTTGCTTTTCTGGTTTCTTGTCCCTTCTTCCCCTTGTCAAGGAATCTTTGCTTCATTCAAAGTTATTTTCAGCCTCTTTTGTTCATTCAGCACCCCTATCCCAGCTTCCCCCTGTATCTGGGCTTACCCCCATTTTGCCCTGCTGGTGACACGCAGTCCCTGGAGCACCCCACCCCTGCCCTCATGGACAGAATCAGCACGTTTAAAACCACCTGCATCCATGAGAGCACTGATGGAGGTACCTGCTAAGCCCTTAGGGACCAGGCTCTGGGCTCAGGTCTCCCAGCAGCCCGAGTGGTTATGTCCTATCTTGTTGGTTCTGACTCTTGGTGACCTCATGTACAACAGACCCACACAGCACCCTGTGTCATCCTCACAGGCGCTGCTGTGCCTGTGACTTTCCTATTCACGGTGTCAATCTGTCCTGTTTTCTTCTTTATGACCCTCAGCTTTATCAAGCATGATGGCTTTCTCCAGAAACACACTAAAAAAACTCAAATTCACTGTCTTTAGTCCAGTTCCAACTCCTAGCAACTGGCCATCACGTTTCTGAGACTTTAATGACTGGAGTCTGCCCATCTTTCTGCAGAGGGGCTTTTGGGGGATTGAACTGGCAGACCTTGGGTTAGCTCCTTACAGACGATGCCACAAAAGCACCCACCCTTAAGGACTGTCCCCTTCTGCTCACATGTCCAGAGTCTCGCTTCTCAGGAAGTGTGTTTGAAGACAGATTTATTTAGTATTTTAGCAATCCTCAGAATACTCAGTATTCTTTGCCGAGATCTTCTGAGCCAGGTGGGGTGCCACTTCCACAAGGACCCCTAGCCTATAAGTGGTCATGCTGCGTACCAGTTCCCCTCAAATAATTCATTACCTATAGAGAGTCTGATGAACGAAGGATGTGAGAAAGGGCAGCCTTTTTTTCTGGGTGTTCAAGAGGATCCTGTCCTGCTCAGGTACGTACTTTCTCACACCTGTGTCTTCTCCACATTGGGCCAGGTAGACTCTGGAGACTGAAGGACCAAGGTCAGGTTCAGATGAGACACCCAGGTGTTTCCTGGGCTGCAGGAGGCCCAGCCGGAGTTGCTCTGTTGACCCATTGAAGGCTGAGCTGAAGGCCTTGCAGCAGGGAGGGCCTACTCCCCATAGGCTTTCCTTGGTTGCAGTCTTTACAGAAGGGCCCTCAGGGTAGAGTGCATTATGTGTTGTGCCATTGATCCAATGGCCACACATCATTGGCAGTTTGAAACCACCAGTAACTCCCACAGGAGAGATGAGAGTTTTCCTCCATTAAGATTTCCAGCCTCCAAAACCAAGGGTCTCTAAGTCAGAATCCACTCGGCGGCAGTCAGGTGGGAGTTTTCTCTCGCAAGCTGGCTGTAGGCACTCTGCTTGGCGTCAATATTCATTTCCTCCATCCTCAGCTTCCACCCATTGATTTCTGAGCAGCTCAGGTTAAACATTCCTGCCCTGTGGTGAGGGCCAGACTGTCCAGGGCCCCACAGACCCTACCCACCCCCTCCAACTGGATCTCCCCGACCCACAGAACCACCACAAATAAATGTTACTCATGGTTTATTTACAAGGAACCTGCTCTGGGACCACCACTCCATTAGAACCCGCCAAGAGCCCACGCTGGCAAAGGCTCCAAACTCAGCTTCTGGGACACTTCTGTTTAGGGAGTTGGGGAGCCCAGGGAGAATCAACACCAGGTCCTAACTGAGGGTGTGGAGGGGGGACCAAAGGAAGTAGAGCCTCATGTGGGTACAGATGGCCCAGACACTGGAGGCTGCTAGCCCGTCAGGAATCCTATAAGCCAGCCTCACTGTTGGGCAGTGGGATGATGGAGTCACAACATCCTCGTCAGTGAAGGAGTGTCGACCCGTGGCCACGCTCCCCTGACGGTGGCAGGTCTGGACACTGCCTGGAAGGGAGGCCTCTGGTTTCAGCTCTGAGGGGCACCCTCAAATGGCTCCCATTCATCTCTCTACCCTGAATCCTCTTGTCTGGACACCGTGCCTCGGATGTCTCCGCCAGCTCTCGCCCTGCCCTAGAGCTCCAAACCCTTCCATCCACCCCTCTTGGTGACCTCCAGGCCCTGCTTATCAGGCCAAGGAGACACCTGGTCACCACTTGAACCTGTCCCCTTGTCTCCTTTCTCCATTTCCCCATCTGTCCTCTCTCTGCCACCCCAAACCCAGAGCTCCGTGTTGCCTTCTCTCCTTGATAAAACCACCTCTGGGCTCCACAATCTCACTGCTTTCTCAGTCTTCTGTGGCCACCGCCCTTGTCGGGCCACCACCACTTGCCAGCCACAGTCACCTCCCTGGGCTCCGGCATCCATCCCTGGCCTTTGATGGCCTAGCTGTACACCAGCACACCCCTGCTATGCAGTCGAGTCCTAGTGGTGGCGACCCTTGAGTGGGTTTCCAAGGCTGTAAACCTTTTCAGGAACAGTTGGCCTCATCTTTCTACCTTGGAGCAGCTGGTGGATTAGAATTGCTGACCTTACAGTTAGCAGCCCGATGTATAACATGCCACACCATAAGGGCTCCAGGCACATGACAGACAGATGCACTTACTTAAAACCTCTCTCTTAGCTTCTGCTGCTATGAGTCATTGCAAATGCTTTGTGCCCCGCACTTCTGTCCCCATCTCGGCTCATTCCACTTCCCCAAGCCGGTCTCCTCTCAGTGCCAGCTCCTCCTTGTCACAGTGCCTTTGTGTATGTCCTGTCTAGAATCTCACTCCTCCACAACTCTTATCAAAATGTCGCCTTTTTCTGTGATGACAAACATCACCTCCTCTGAGAAGCCCTCCCTGACCACCCTAGGCCCCTATTGGATTTCCCTCATAAGCCCAAACTGTACAGTGTCTGTCTTGCTGTTTGGTTTTCACTGCTGACCGGTGGGCTCAAGGACCACAGGGACCTAGTTTTTTTATCTCATTCTCCCCAGAGCTCCCCACTCTGGGTCTGGCCCTCAGATGTTCCAAGAAGCTGATGTGTTCAGAGCACTGCCTAGCAGTAACTCTCCAAGACCCTGCTAGCCTCATCCCCCGGCAGTGGGAGGGTCCCCGAGGACAGGGCGCGGCCGGCGGGGGCCTCGCGTCGTCCGGGGTCCTTGGGCAGCGTCCGCGGGGCGCGCTCCGGCGGGTGGCGGCGCTCCTGGAGGCCGCGGCGCAGGCGGCAGCGGTGCCAGCCCCGGCGGATCTCCGACTGCACCTGCACGAGGCTGCGCTCAGAGGCGGCGCCCGCTGAGTTCCCCACGCGGCCGCCAGAGGGCGCGGGCGGGCTCCCTACCTCCTTGTTGATGAAGCAGTAGAGGACGCTGACCAGGAAACCCTGCGAAAGGACCGCGGAGTTAAACGGGGCGTCCCAGCCCCTCTACGCGCTCTGAGCCTTGCAAGCAACCATACCACGCAATTGCTCCCATCCCACATCTGTTACCTGCTGCAGTCCCAAGGATTCTGACTTCCCCAGACCAAAATTATTGCAGCCTCCTCCCTGGCTCGCTCCTACCCTCACCCTCACAGCTTTACAGGATAGAGTTTGGGTCGGGTCGGTTAACAACGAGAACTGCTTCCCTACATCCCCAAGCTGCTTAGGTTCTCTGTTCCTCAGTTTCCTCATCAGAAAAATGGGTAGTAATAGAGCAGTGGTTGTCATAATTGGGTTGTTATTAATACAAGTGCAGTAGTTTTGCTGACAGACTGAACCCACCCAAAGAAAGACCTGCAATCTGCTTCCATAAAGATTACAGCCAAGATAAGCCTGTGAGACAGTCCTCCTGTCACACAGGGTCACAGTATCAGAATTTACTCCACTGCATCCAACAAAACAGCTACAATATTACTGACATACAAGAAGCTGGAATTCTATTACAATGTCAAAAAACCAGACTCACTGCCCTGGAAACGGTACTGACTCAGCTGACCCTTCAGCAGGTTTTCTGAGGCTGTAAATGCACCAGAGGAGATTGTCCCTTATTCTCCCACAGAGCCACTGGTGGATTCGAACAAGCACTGCCTTTGGGTTGTAATAAAATCTGTATAAACGATGGAACGGATGACAAGTGCTCTGTAAACTTTCAATCCAAATGCCATCAAGCTGATTACAACCCATAGCAGCCCTCTATCAGATTTCTGAGGCTGTAATTACTTTTTTTAAATATGGTACTCTTCACGAATTTGCGTATCGTCCTTGCGCAGGGGCCATACTAATCTTTGTATCATTCCAATTTTAGTGTATGTGCTGCCAAAGTGAGCACGAGGCTGTAAATCTTTTTTTTTTTAAAAAAAATAGAAATATATAAAACTGCTCTTCATAGAATTTTAAATTACTCTGATCTTTCAAAAGTAGACCGCCAGACTTTTTTTCCAAAGCACCTTTGGATAGATTCAATGGATGGAGTCTATCTGGTCACAGGGTCTTAGCTCTGTGAAGAACGGCTAGAAGTATGGCTGGGTTCACGCAACCTGGCCACTTCTCCCAACGCGCAAGCTCAGTGTTTCGAGATGAATGAATGATCACATCTTTATAACCCACTCAGTGGCTGGGTCAAAGGATAACTGGACAGAAGGACCTAGGTCAAAGGGTTAAGCACCCTTGCACCCCGCCCCCAGCACCTGGAAGGAGCTGAGGAAGATCTCAAAGGCGAGCTTGGTGAAGCGCAGGGTGCCCCGGGCCTGTTCCTCCGTCACGGGCGCAAACACCACCTCGTGGACGCCCAGCAGGGGCACCAGCGTCAGAGTGGAGCGTGCCAGCCTAGGGAGAGAGGACAGCAGTGGCCCCGCGCTCTACGCCCATCACAGCCCACGCCCCCTGCCCTTGCGCCCCGGCTTCAGGCCGCACCTCAGTCGGTAGTCTGGGCAGCGCATTTGCCGCGTTCTCAGCTTGGACACGAGGATGCCAAGGATTCGGATAAAGATGAGGAAATTAATCTGCAGAGAGAAGGAGATGGATTCTGCCCTATGTTTTCCTAGTAGGTGGAAACTGTCAGAGGGCATTTGCTTCCCAGAGGAAGGGAAGTTTTAGAGAACTCCCTGGAGGAGGCTGGACTGGCCGTACCAAGATGGTCACGAGGATAGGGGTGCGGATGATCCACCAGATGGCTTTGATATCGTTCCGTTCCCAGCACCTGGGAGAAGGTTGGGAAGAGCTGAGACTCGCCCGTTTACAGAGGGTCGCGCAGAGGAGGGCATAAGGACACACGCACTTTAAGGACACACCCAGACTACCAAATCCACGACTACGTTTCTGCTCCACCCACCCTCCCTTTCTCTGGTTCTCACCGCGTTTCCAAGCTTCCTAGTTCCTTCAAACCTGCCAAGCCCCGCCCACACACTAGCAAGGTCCGCCCACACCTGCTCCAATCCCCGCCTCCGCACCAGCCAAAGTCCCACCCACGAGCCCTTGCCCCGCCCCGCCCAGCAGTTGCCTCAAACCCAGCAACTCACTGCGTGTTTTCGTGCAGGTATCTGACGATCACCCAGGGAATGACGAAGAGTGCGGGGGCCCCTGTGCAGACCCC